CCACACACCACACACACCACACAACACACAACACACAACACACAGCACACACCACAAAACAGCGCACAAAACACAGTACACACAACACACAGCACACATCACACAGCACGCAGTACACATCACACAACACACAACGAACCATTCACAACACTTGCACACACGCACACTTACACACACACGCGCACACACACACACACACGCGCACACTCCTACACACACACCCACACACACGCGCACACAAACACACACGCACACGCACAAAGCTTACCGCGTAAAGTACGAGAGGCCCATGGTCGGACGCGTAATGTCTTGGTTGCGGGCCCGCGCTTCCCCTTTTCTGCTGCCGCGCCCCGCGCCCGCCTCCTGCGCGCGCTGCGCCCGACCGTGCGCGCCGCATCTATGCGCTCGGGCGTGCGTGTATTTTCGGCGAGTGCCAGCGAGGAGCATATTGGATCTTCTTACTCACCACCCTCGCCACACCAAATCATCCCAACCCAGTCCGAAGGTCCAAGCTTACCGCCCATTTCCAATCGGGGGGCGTCGGGGAAAACGGAGCACAGAAAACACGCGTGGAACTCGTGCCCCCCAACCCGAAACTATGCTCTTCAGGTTAGGCTGGAGTGATCCGGCAGGTCGCCACTCACGAGAAATAGGCGCACCAAGTCGGAACGTGCACGGGGCACTGACGTCCGAGCGATAGCGAGTCTCTCTCTCTCTCTCCCTCCCTCTCTATACATACATATATATATATATATAGAACCTTCTCTCTGTCTCTCTCTCTTTCTCTCGCTCTCTTTCTGTCTCTCTCTCTCTCTCTCTCCCTCTCTATACATACGTATATATATAACGTTCTCTCTCTCTCTCTCGCTCTCTTTCTCTCGCTCTCTCTCTCTGTCTCTCTCTCTCTCTCTCCCTCTCTCTCTCTCTTTCTGTCCAGTCGGCCGTCGCCCGGCCTCCCTGCGCGCGCTGCCCGGCCCCGCCTTTGCTCTGCGTGCCCCCCCCCCCCAACCTGCAGCCAAGCGCGTGCAGGCCGCCAGCGAGGACGGCACAGCCCAGTCCTGCCCGCGTCATGGGAAAATCACGACGGGAGGTCTCTTCGGAGGCAGAAGGAGGAGGAGGAGGAGGAGGAGGAGGAGGAAGAGGAGGAGGAGGAGGAGGAGGAGGAGGAGGGCCTGGAAATGGAGGAGGAGGAGGGGGAGGAGGAGGAGGAGGAGGAGGAGGAGGAGGAGGAGGAGGTCTCTTCGGAGGGAGGTCTCTTGACGGGCGTGACGGGGGTGGGTGGCGGGTGGGGGGGACGGGGCCGGTTGCGTCACGATTCGCGCCGGCGCCGTCTGGCAATGCCTAAGAATCGCTCATTTCCAGACGGCGCCAGCGTGAATCGTGACGGGATTCAGGGGGGGAGGGGAAGGCGAGGCTGGGTCCGTTCTCGCGAATGATAGCGAGATTGTTCCAGTCGACGACGTGCAAGGACGTCGGTAACGACAGTGCAATCCACCCCAAGCCCCAGCCAGGACGCCCACGCCCCGTCCTGGTGATCCAAGGGGTCCTGGCCAGAGGTCGGGGTGGTGTTTGGGGCCTATTGGGGGCCACAAGACCACCACCACCCCCAGCCAGGACCCCCTGGATCACCAGGTCGTGAGTGGGGTGTGTTGTGCTGTCTTGAACCGAGTCGGCGAAATTCGAAAAACAATTATTCGACGCGGAGGTCCCCATGGACATCTCCGTTCCTGGTGTTTCTGTCCGTGCGTGTCTGAGTGAAAGAATCTTAGATGGTGGCGATTGAACGATGCCTGGCTGCTCCCCCTTGCCCAAATCATATGCCTGCTACAGTGGGATGCTCGTGGGGCGCTGAACCGAGAGGGGCTGGGGGTACCTAAACCAGCGTTTGCGTCTGACTCGCTGGAGACATCCTCACGACTGCCCTGAAAGCGGGGAAGTCACAACCACGAAACCAGCAAAGAACCTGAGACATTCCCACAATGTGGCCTCGAACGGGCGAATGTAACACCTCCTGATGCCCCCCCAGGGGTGCTAAAGCAAGCGCCTCGCCTTGGACATCCTCACGATCGGCTGTGAAAGCATGGACTCCCAACCACGAAACAAGTGTATCGCCTGAGATATCCCCACGCATTGGCCGCGAATTGGGCCGTGTAACACCCCGTGGCGCCCCCCCCCCGTAGGGCAGTTGTATATTTACAACCGTTTTCCTTTGACGTAGCTTGGGTGCTTTGGGTATCTGTTCACATTGATTATATATCTCCCTCTTTCTCTCTCTCATTCTCGCTTTCCTCTCATTTTCTCTTTTTCTCTCGCTCTATCTGGTGCACCATCGACGTGCAACATCGGTCCAGCGAACAAGATGAACGCCGCGCAAAGGCCCTCGCGCCGCCTGAGGCGAGTAATTAGGTAGCATTGTAAGACATGTAAACGTCACATAAAAAACACAGCATTTCAAGGACATCCTAATACCATCATGCGCAAGCAACTTTGAACACCGGTGGTTTAATTGTTACGTTTATCAGAAACCCAAGCCAGGTGAACATTCTGGGTTTGAGCATACTCGCATCACACAACCTGGTGTTGTCAACAGTTATTGGCCTTCGACAGGCGCAACACACATGAAGACACATGTTGTTTGCGTTTGTTTCCGCTGAATTTCTTTGGATGCAGTGTTTCCCCCAATCCTCCTGTGTGCTCGGTCCTCAGGTGGCCCTCCGCCAGCGCAGTTGCTCTGTCGATCCGCCGACGTAAGAAGCAGAAGAAGTGTGTTCGGTCCTCGTTTTATACATTGGCAGCGCCGCGCGTCTCCCTCCTCCTCCCCCTCCTCCTCCCTCCGCTTCCTCCTCGTCGTCGCCTTCCCTCTTCGCACCTCGGCACGCCGCTCACGTGATTCAGGAGGAAAAGAAACACACAGACACAATTAATCTTCGACTCCCCAGACACTATGGGAACATATGGGAAGTGGAGGGGAAGACCGAAACCCAGAAAATATGGGAAAACATAAGGACTGTTTTTATTTGTGTGTATTTATGTGTGTGTCCTGGGGCCCCTTCAGTGTCCTCCGTGGCCCCATGGGGGGAGCTCCACCGGGAGGGCCCCAGGTGGCTTGGCCCGCGTGTGGCCTCTGCCCGCCTGGCTCGAGACCTTCTCGTAATCTTCTGAGGCCTCCTAGATATGGGGTCGGAGTAGGAGAGGGAGGAGGAGGAGGAGGAGGAGGAGGAGGAGGAGGAGGAGGAGGAGGAGGAGGAGGACGAGGAGGAGGAGGAGGAGGAGGAGGAGGGAGGAGGACCCGCCATCGTCGCCAACCTCGTCGCGCCGCATCGCCGATGCATCGGCGATGCGGGTCGATGTGGAGCCCGATCTTATCCACGCCGATGGCGCCGATGCAGCGCCGACGTCGCAGGTGCATCGCCGATGCATCGGCGATGTCTCGCCGACGCACTGGTGGTGCGGCGAGATCCTCCGACCCCATCTACTCCGACCCTGTCTAGGAGGCCCCCGAAATCTGCTCTGGAACCAGGCCCGAGTCAGGGCACCCAGACAGGCAAACCACCTGAGACATCCCCACAATCTGGGCGCGAACGGGCCTGTGAAAACACCCTGGAGGACACCCCCCTCGGGAGTGCTGAAACCAGCGTCTCTCTCGAGACGTCTTCACAATCTCTTTTTGAAAGCAGAGGAGTGTGAGCACCCAAACAGGCAAACCGCCTGAGACATCCCCACAATCTGGTCGCGATCGGGCATTCACACTGAGTAAGTCTGAGTGTGAGTGAGTCCGCGTGTGAGTGTGTTGAAGTATGAGTGAGTCTGAGTGTGAATCAAGTCTGACTGAGAATGAGTCTGATAATGATTGAATCCGAGTCTGAGTAAGTTCGAGTGTGAGTGACTCTTAGTATGAGTAAGAGGGGCCTCATCTATTATGTATGCTGACTATGAGTGGGTGTTAGTTTGAGCAAGAAGGCCAGTGAGTCTGTGTACGAGTACGCGGCATGAGTATGAGTGAGTCTGCGTGGGAACGAGTCTGCTTATGAGTGAATCTGAATTTGAGTGGGCCTGACTATGAGTGAACTGTTTGGGTGGTGTTAACGCTGCGTAGATGAGAGCAGAGGTAGGGAGGCTTGGATGGGGAGGAAAAGGCGAAGGTTTCACAGCAAAAACAATAACCTCATCTTAGAAGATGGGGACACCAGTAGCATAAGCATACGCTTGCGACGGTCTGCGCGGATTTCTTGGGCGGCGCCTCTGGCGTTGCCACCTGCGCGCTCCGCGCGCCAGGGACAGGTTCAGCGCAGATTCAAGAAATCTGCGTGGACCGTCGACAGTTCATGTTATGCAGCTGATTTTCCTTCGAGCATAGAAATGGGTTGCGCGCAATGAAAAGGAAGGGATGCGCGGGATGGGTCTGATGTCAGACTTGCCATCGTGAGCGCACCTAGCTTGTCCTGCTCTCCCCGCCACCATGCCCCTTCCGCCTCCTTCCGCGAGTGGGGCGGACAGGGGGGGGATGGCGAGGGCAGCAGACACGGCGAGATTTGTGGGCTTGTCTCTGTCTCGTTCGATGGACGTCTTGAATCTTCACCGCGCTCGGCGCTCTCGTTCAAATTGCGCTGGCAAGAGGTACCACGCCATTCTACCAAGACTGCGGGGTGGCCATCGTAGCAGCGTTCGGTCGGGTTCGATTCTGGCCATCGTCACGTTCTTATCCATGAAGTGGATTGTGGGGCGTCCTCAGTAGCTGCCTTCTCGTCGTTCGTCTTGGGTGGCCAAGCTCAGGTGTATTTGATCTGCCGAGCCGGAGTGGTGTGGGTGTTCAGCTTACCTGCAAGTTGACCTGTGGACCTGCCTTCTCTGAACGGCGCGCGACGCTCCAAAGAAGTCAAATGGAAATGGACCTGACCCTGGACACTCGTTGAATCCATCATGAATTGGGAATATTGTGCAGGTTGTTTTGTGCATAGGCGCTTTTGAGGTGCTTGTGCCATGTCGATTGCACTTGCGAGGTGGACGACATGCAGGGCTTGAGACTCTACAACATGGTGTCGCCCAACCAGATGAGCCTCGCAGGCCCTTCTGCTTGGGCACGCATGGGTTGCCATAATGCCGGCCGCACAAATCGGGCCAGGCAAAGGAGAGAGGAGGCGGCGGAGGAGGAGAAGGAGGAGGAGGAGGAGGGCATTTTCCGGGAACCAGATCGCGTGCGATCCAGAGTCCGGCGTTCTCCGTCCCGACGTCGCCGGTGGATCGCCGATGCATCGGCGTTGCGGCGAGGTCCTCTGGCCCCATCTTCCCCGAGCCTAAGTATTTGGGTGGCCTCCAGCTCAGGATTGAGCAAGTGCTGTGCCCGAGGCAACTCGCTCCACGCCAGCGTGGCGCAGACGCTGCAGTGCCACGCGAGCCGCTCACACGGGCATGGTAAGAGCCGTGTTCGCTGATGTCTGCGCGATCCATGCAGAGACAGGCCAGGCGGGCACGAGTCAGTCACGCGCAGAAGGGGGGTAGGGGGAGGGGGGAAGGCTTCTTAGAGCACCCCTGCCTCTAAGAAGCCTTCCCCCCTCCCTCTACCACCCTCTGCGCGCCGCCACACGAGGGCCGCAGCCAGCTGCCTGCGGCAAGTCCCGCCGCCGTGCCATGCCCAGCATTCTGGGTGGCGACAGTCCGAAGAGGACGGGACGCCGTCACGTGTGGCACCTCGTGTCTCCGGGGCTCCGGGAGCGATGATGCAACTGCTGCTGCTGCTGGAGACGACGACGACGAGGACGAGGACGAGGACGAGGACGAGGACGATGATGATGATGATGATGATGATGATGATGATGATGATGATGATGATGACGATGATGCTGATGATGGTGATGCTGATGCTGATGCTGATGCTGATGCTGATGCTGATGCTGATGCTGATGATGATGATGATGATTATGCTGCTGTTGATGATGATGATGATGATGATGATGGTGGTGATGGTGATGATGATGATGATGCTTATGATAATGCTGCTGATGATGACGAGGCTTATGATTCTGACGATGTTGATGGTGATGCTGATGACGATGTTGATGATGGTGATGCTGATGATGATTACGATGATGGTGCTGATGATTCTGATGATTCTGATGATATGCAAATGACGGTGTTGCCGATGATGAGATGTTGCTGTTGATGTTGATGATTATGATGCTGCTAGTGATGATGATGGTGATGTTGATGATGGTTACGTTGATGCTGCTGATGATGCTGCTGGTCATGCTGATGCTGATGATGATGCTGATGCTGATGATGATGGTGCTGATGATGATGATGCTGATGATGATGATGATGATGATGATGATGATGATGATGCTGATTACGCTGATGATGGTGATGGGGGTATTGATGATTATGTTGATGTGGATCATGATGCTGCTGCTGATCATGCTGATGATGCTGCTGATGATGCTGCTGATGCGGAGGAGGAGGAGGAGGTGGAGGAGGAGGAGGAGCAGGAGCAGGAGCAGGAGCAGGAGTAGGAGGAGGAGGAAGAAGAAAAATAAGAGACAGGCATTCACATGTTTTACCTTTTGTCTTCACAATTTTCGAAACTCTCAGGGAACTCGTTCGGGCCGTCTCGGGCTTCTTGGAACCTTTGGGGCTCTCTTGGGCCGTCTTGGGGCTTTCTTGGGGCAGTAGTGGGGCAGTCTCGGGCTGTCGAAAGGCCTTCTAAGGCCGTCTTCCTACACGAGGTCCTCTCTTGCCGTCTTGGGGCCGTCTTGGATGCCTCTTTTGGGCCATCGTGGGGCCTCTTGGGCCATGTTAGGACCCTCCTGGGGGCCTCTTGGGCCGTCTTGGGGCCATGGTGGAGGCTTTGTGGGCCGTCTTGAGCTGACGGAAGCTCGCACAAGGCGACAACGCGCGAACAAAAGTCCATTCCCACACCGAGGGCCGGTTTTGCGCCGCGTTGGCGCGGCGGCGGCCATCAGCGCGGGCGTGCAGGATTATATAAATGCCGCCGGTGGCCCGGAGTCGGCCGACATCGAGCGGTCCGCGCTAGCGGATCGGGGGCCCCCAGGCGGGGTGGTGACCACATCGTGCGGTGGGTCGGTGGGGATTCGGGATCACCGCACGGTTTTGGGACTCGAGTCCCTCTCCGAGGACGTCTCGGTTGACAGGGGCCTCCAGGGTCCCAAGACCGTGCGGTGACGGACAGTGCGGTGAGGTCTCTTGGGGTTCCGAGGTCACAGCATGGTCTGTCACCGCACCGTTTCGGGACTCCAAACCGGAGAGCCGCGATCGCTCAAGGTTGAACGATCGACACGGCATCCGAAACCACAGCCCACGACATCGCGACGCGAGTCAGCCGTGAGGGAATTCATGATTTGGGTTTCGTCGGACCCTGTTGGAGGTCCTCTGGTGGTCCTCTTGGGCCCACTCGCAGTCCCCTTGGGCCGTCTTCGTGCCACACTGGACAGCCTTGGGGCCATCTTGGGCTGCATTCGAGGCATCTTGGGCCACCGTGGCGTCCTCGGTGGCCTGCCCGGGCCGTCCTGGACGCTCGGGGCGCATGCCCACTGTTCTTTATACGAGGGTTCGTGGCCTGGAGAGCGCGGCTCCACTGTTTTTCGACGGGTCGTGGCCTCGGGATGGGGGGGGGTGCATGCGAATAGACGCGTCCCGGGTCGGGGGGGGTCTCTCTTGTTTCGACTAGACGTAAGAGTGACCTTTCGCCGGAGTGCCCTTTGGTGCGGGCACAGATGGGTCCCCAGATGGTTGAAAACGAAGCAGTAGCAGCTGCTTGCGCGCCCAGGTTTGGCCCCCCGCGGCCCCCCAAAAAGTCGCGCACCAAAGGTCACTCTTACCCAGGGTCACTCTTGCGTATAGCCGATTGTTGGAATGCAGAAACCCTACCAGACAGCCCTTGCCACTCTTCCACGCCTCAACGTGCACAAGGCACAGTGGCGGATCACTTCGGGGAGCGGAACTCATGAGGGCGAGGGATGAGATAGGGGAACGGGGGTGGGCAGGGAGTAGTCGGGACGGCGCCGGACAGAAGGGGAAGGCGACGGCGGATGAGGGAAGCGGAGGAAAGGAGAGGCCAGTGGCCCTCCTCTCGAGAGGGGCAGTCTTTTTACCCTCTGACAGCTGAGACAGCTGCACTCGAAAATCAACTGGTGCGTCAAATGTCATTTCTGGTACCTGAGGTTTGCAAAATTGTTTTACCACAGGAGTATCATCCAACGATCAAGGTTGTTCCCTGCGCCTGGTGATGTCAGACATTGTCTTCATTCGCTTAGTTTGAGCGAGTTTCTGTGGAACTCACGTCATCCTGACCCCAGGCGCGCAAGAAAGTCGCCTCCCAGCGCACCCCCAGGGACCATTTCCGGCGCTGCGCCAGGCGTGTCCCCATCGGGCGCTCTCGCTCGAGACATCCTCGCAACATCGCCCCACGGGCCCCTATAGCGCACCCCCAAGGGACCATTTCCGGCGCTGCGCTGGGCGTGTCCCCATCCGGCGCTCTCGCTCGAGACACCCTCGCAACATCGCACCAGGCGCCCAACGCATGTCCCGCAGGGACCACCATTTCTGGCGCTGCGCCAGGCGTGGCCCCATCGGGCGCTCTCGCTTGAGGGTCGGAACCCTGCGTTCGTCCTGGTGGGCTGCACGATGGGGTTGGTGTGGTTTCCGGCCTCGTGGTATGCTCGACGGCGTCGGTATTCGGTTTGATGCTCAGCGCCTGTTTGTTCCGCGCCTTGCATGGCCCGCGCCTCGGGCGGCAGGCAAAAGGAGGAGAAGGACGAAGATGAGGGGGGAGGGGGCGGGAGGAGGGGGAGGACGAGGAGGAGGAAGTGGAGGAGGAGGAGGGAGAGGAGGAGGAGGAGGAAGAGGAGGAGGAGGGGCGTAGTGGGTTTTGTACACAGTTTAGAAACTAAGAAGGGAAAAATACATTCACAGAAAGGGAAGGAACACAACACCAGGAACACCGTGGGGATACACGCCTCGGGAGAGAGAGAGAGAGAGAGAGAGAAAGAAATAGAAAACAAAACAACATATGCAGGGAAAAAGACAGACAGAGAGAGGGAAAGAGAGAGAAGTACGATGGAGGATGGTTATGATGACGAGGGATGGGGCGGTGGTGGAGGTTACCACGCGCCAAGCAGGCGACGGCGTCTTGTTCATTGCCTTCTTGACCTGCTCGTTGCTCTACGTGTTCGGCTGGGTTGAGTGGGGGTGCGCGCGCCCGCGTGTCACTTTGTTGCTTGGGTGATTTTTTATGTGCAGTATGATGCCGAAAGGGAGGTTTAGGAAGAGTCTGTTCGCGACAGATGGCAGGGCCAACAGGAGATTCTCAGGAGGTCCTGGACTTTCTACGGGCCCCCTCTGTGAGACCTGAGCTCGTGCTATCTAAGATTGTGACGTTTTTATTGAGTGGAAAAGGGGGGAAAAAGGAGGAGGGGGCAGGGGTAAGTGTATGAAGACGAGAAGGAATATTGCATCAGCAGGAAAAGGGGGAGGATGAAGAGGAGGAGTAGGAGGAGGAGGAGGAGGAGGAGGAGGAGGAAGAAGAAGAGGAAGTGGAGGAGGAAGACGAGGAGGAGGAGGAGGAAGCGGAATTGGGAAACATAGTGATGAGGAGGATGCGGACGAGGATAAGAAGTAGAGGAGGGGGAGGGAGGACGAGGAGGAGGAGGAGGAGGAGGAGGAGGAGGGGGTGGAGTAGAGGAGTAATCATATGTGTATGGTGATGAATGGGGGGGGATGAGGATAAGAACGAGTAGGAGTATGAGGAGGTGGGGCGGCGATCTCGAATGCCTTCTGCCTCAGGCAGGCTGACCGAGGATGAGGTGTGGGCCACTGGACATGTCACGATGCTCCTTGTATATATATATATATATATATTGTGTATGTACATAAGTAAGTCCTTGTCCGTCCACAAGCCTGCACTATCCCTCATTGTGGAGACGTTGCTCTGTAGCATAGCTCTTTGGTCGCGCCTGCGTTGCACTCGCTCGAAAACGTCGTTCGGAACTGGAGCTTGCCCATGAGATTTGCGAGGTGGCAGGGAGCGACACAGCTCCTCCGAATTACCCGTGCCGAGCCTGCGCGGCCCGTGGAGTGGGCGGCCCCGCCCTGCCGGGCGGGGAGCGTCTGCGAGACCCTCCGCTGTTCGGCCTGGACCTGGCCGCCTCAGCTGAGGTCCAGGCCTCGGAAGAGCTCAGCGAGCACTCCTGCTGCATTCATCCGTCGATGCCCCCCCTCCGTGGCCGATGCTGGCGGTGGGCTGAGTGAGGTGAACTTCGGCCGCAGTCTTCCCCGCGCGTGCCAACTCTGAGTTTTTTTTTGGGGGGGGGCGGGGGAGTGCCCATGAGTTCTTTCCCTCCACCGTCGCGAGCATGGGCGGCGCGGCGCCTGGCCTCGGCCAGGCCAGCGCCGCCCTGCAGCTGGCTGGAGCTCCCGCTCCGCCCCGGCTGCCGCTGCCTGCAGCTGCTGGAGCGCTCTGGGCGTGGCGCGGGCGGCCGCAGCGCCGGGCCTGCTGTCGACCGCGCCAGCGCCGGTATCCGGGCCCCCGGGCGCTCTCGTTTTTTGTTTGCGTTTTGTTTTTTCTGTTCCCATCGGGCGCTCGATTGTTTTCCCTCGGTCGCTCTCGTTTTCTCCCTCGGCGCTTTCTGTTTTCCCTCGGGTGGCTGGTCTGGTCGAACATCCAGTGTTTTTTTTCCCGCCGGGGCTTCTTTTTCCGTCGACCGATCGTTTTCCGTTTTTTGTTTCCCTCGAAGGGGGAGGGTGGGGGGACGAAGGTGGCGAACATGTCAAATGATGAATGCCACATGCATGCCACTGCATGCCATTGCATGCCAACAGTCATGCCAAATGCATGCCACATGCATGCCAAATGCATGCCAAGCGCATGCCACCGCATGTCTAAAGAAGCATGCCCAATTCATGCAAGATGCATGCAAGATGCATGCTAATGCATGCCAAGCTGCATGCCAAACTGCATGCCACATTCATGCTACCGCACGCCGAATGTATGCCAGATGCATGCAAGATGCATGCCGATGCATGCAATCTTAAAGCTGCACGCCCAAAGGCATGCCAAATGCATGCCACATGCATGCTAAATGCATTCCAATGCAAGCCAATACAAGCATGTCAGATGCATGCCGATGCATACCAAACCAAGCGTGACAAGTGCATGTAATATGCATGCAATCTGCATGTCAATGTATGCAACATGCATGCCAATGCATGCCAAACTGCATGCCACATGCATGCCACACGCATGCCAAAATGCATGCCGCATGCACGCCAATACATGCCACAAGCATGCCGCATGTACGCCAATGTATGTCAATGCATGCCAAACACATACCAATGCATTCCGACCAGAGATCTTTATGACCCGAACCCTCTCTAACTCGAAAGCTCTAACCCTAAGTCCATGCCCGTGAGACCCAGAAGCTAACGCCCTAACCCAAACCCTGAACTCCTAACCCGAAGGCCGTGACGCTGAGACCCTAGCCTTGAAACCCTTACCGTAACCCGGATGCCCTAACCCGGAGACCCGAATTCCCAGAACATATCCTTGACCTGAAGGCCCTATCCCGAAGGCCCTTACCCTGATACCCCAGTCCTGAGGTCCTCAGCCGAAGGCCCCAGCCCCACAACCCTCACCCAAAGACCCCAGCCCTAATCCCACGGTCCTGACCCTAAGACCCTGACCCTAAGACCGTAATCTTGAGGTCGAGAACCCAAGACCCTAACCTCGCGATCATAGCCCTAACCTGAAGCCCCTGACCCTGAGGCCCTCACACCAAGGTCCGAGCCCAAAGGAGCGACCCCAACACCTTGACCCTGAGGCCCTGACCCTAAGACACTAACCCTGACTCCTAAGTTTAATGCCATAGCCCTGAGACCCTGACCATCAGGCGTTAACCTTTTGGCCTTGGCCCGAACGCCCTAACCCTGACCCTAGGGCCACAATTACCCTTAGACCCTAAACGGCAGACCCGAAGCCGAAAACCTGCACCCTAGTACCTTAACCTTCAGGCCCTAACCTTAAGAACCCGAACCCGAAGGCCGGAAATCTATGGAGATCTAGTGCCATAAGCCTAAGGCCCTTAATTGAATAACCGAATTGTAGCCCCTAAGACCCTAACCCGATGGCCCGAATTGTAAGAGCTTGACTCTGTGGCCCTAGCCCTAAGGCCCTCACGCTAACGCCCTCGCCCCAACCCTGAGGCCCTAACCATTAGGTGGGGGAAACGTAAGACTCGAGTAAGCTGGAACTCGGGTTTGCCGACTTTTATTTGACGAGTGCGTTCGGGATTCTGACGGTCCCGTTTTCGTGGGATGTCTGCAGCGGGAGCCCGCGTCAAACCTGCGACTGGGTCTCGTCATTTTCATGATGGCCCCTGTCAGGCCAACCCCGGTTCCCCGTACCCGAGTCTTACGTCTCCCCGGCGGAGGTCCTTTTCTCTCGGGAGCTTGGCCCGAGGGCCGGGACCTCAGACCGTCACCCTGCGACCCTTGCCCGAGGACCAGGGAGCTTCAGGCCCGGGCCCTCCCTCGCCCGAAGGCCCTGACCCTGAGCTCCCGACCTTGCCGCCCTAACCCTAGCCCTGCCTCCTCCTCCTCCTCCTCCTCCTCCTCCTCCTGCTCCTACTCCTCCTCCTCCCCGCCTCCTCCTCCTCCTCCTCCTCCTTCTCCTCCTCCCGCAGCCCTAGGCCGTAACCCAAATACCCATGGCTTTGAGATCCTAGTCGTAGGTCGAATACCTTTTTCCGGAGAAACCCCCTAACCCTGAGGCCCTGACCCTAAGACCTTGACCCTAACACCTTCACGCCGACGACCTGACTGTAACCCTAACCCCCTGACCCGAGGCCGTAGCCTTAAGGGCCTTGCCCTTAGGCATTAACCGTAACCCTAACACCCTAGGCTGACTACCCTATCTTTTAGACCATTAACCTAGACCTCCTTTCCTAGCCCCAAGGCCCTCGCCCAAGGCCCTACTGTTGTTCCAAACCGAATGCTCAAACCCCACCACTGCGGCCTTCACCTGAAGACCCTAACCCTAAGACCCTAAGCCGAACGTCCTCACTTTGCGGCCCTAGTCGTAAGAAAAAAACCCTGACCCTTAGCCCCTAACCCGAATGCCCGATCCTAAGGCCTTCACGCTAAGGCCCCAATCTGAAGAGCTGAGCCCGAAGGCGCTACCATGAAGGCCCTAACCCTAAGACTCGACCCCTACGGCCCGACTCCTGAGACCCTAACACTAAGCCCCGAATCCTCTTGAACCCTGAAGCCCCGACCCTGCAGCCATGCCCCGAAGATCCCAACCCTAACGCCCCTACCGTATGCCAAACCCCCGAACCCTCAGGCCATCACCCTAAGACCAGTGTCCTAAGACCTTATACGTCGCCCTAGGGCCCTAACCCGAGTACCCTATCCCGAAGGCACGAACCATAATGCCCTAGCCCGAAACACCAACCTCTTAGGACCTCGCCCTATGGCCCTAGCCCCACAGCCCTGGCCCCAAGACTCCAACCCTACCCCTGCGGCCCTAAACACAAATCCCCCGCCCTAAGACTCTGACCTCGTGGCCGTTACCCCAAGACCCTGACCTTGGGATCATGGCCCTGATCCTAAGCCCTTGCCCCGAAGGCCCCCGCCCTAACCTGAAGACCCTAAAGCCTCAGACCCGGATCTTTCCTAACCCTAAGGCCTTAACCTTGAAGCCTTGCTGATGTCCTAACCCTTTCGTCCTAGCCCTAAACCCTCACACCCTGGGCCGCCACAGCCGTTTCGGTTCGAGCTGATTTGTGTGAAGCTCGAGCTTGCAGCAGCATACTCCTTCGAAACGGCCAGTGCTGTTGCGGGCCAAATTGGCTCTTCGTCTTCGCCCAGCTGGCCACACCAGCGTGGGCACTCCATTTCAGTTGCGCGACACGGCTTTGCTTCCGCCATGTCGAAAGGATGTAAGGGTTCGCCTGGGCATGTTGACGGCGGCGCCAAAGGCAAGCCGTGGGCCCAGGACCGTGCCAACCTCGTACAGTGGCCTCCGCTCGTTCCAGGTCCTCAGCTGCCTGCTCCTCCTTCGGCTGCTGGCAGGGGACGCTGGACATGCGAGGTCTGCGGCTGCAAGCGCAACGCCAGCTACTTCACCTGGTGCAAGCACTGCGGCTCCACGAGGTTGCCGCCCAACTCAGTCTGGCAGGGCGGCTACGGCAAGA